GTAAATATATTATAATAAATAAAAGGCCTAAACAAAACTATCTTTATTAATATTTCCACACTGGTGATAAGACAGATGGATTGGAATTAGATATGGAAAAATGTAATATTCTACAAAGGAAACTCTAGGGAGACCCAGGGAGTTATGAAGGTTGTTTCTCACTAAGGGCGAACTTGTCTATTCTTTCCTCTTCTGCCTTTATCCTAACTAAGCCTCCACCACAGCCAGCAATTCCCCACTCCTGTGTACTGGAGATGGACTGTGGCACCAAGTGCCCCCTCAGCTAGTCCGTGCAAGGCTATTTTTAGCTCTGCCCAACAACTAATAGGGTTTTTGTCCATTCTTGGCGGTGTTTTTTTAAATTGTCTGTTCAGCAGCATACTCACTGCCTCGCTAAGACACCTAGGAGGGAGAAAATGGTTTTCCTTGCCGTGGGCCACAGGAGAAGCAAAGATCCCAAATTCGGGAGGTAGCAGGTGCCTTGGGAGGACTGTGGGCTTTGAGGTGGACCTGAAGTCGCAAGACATTGGTTCCTTGACTGTAAAACGTGCAGCTTAGTAAGTAGGCTGTGTTGCTGTCTGTGAAGTGCCTATCATGCAGTCTGGAACACTCAAGGAAGAAGCCATTTGCTCAAGCAGTGGATGGATGAGATGACATAGACCTGGTTCCCACCAGAGCCAATGTTTGTTGCAGGCATGAGAATGCATGTGAAGTCTTAGAAGAAAGGAATATCGTCAGGCAATGTTATGGGTGGAATTGTAGCTCCCAGATAAGAAATGCTGGAGTCCTAACCGGAATGTGACCTTATTTAGAGATCGAGTCTTCACAGAGGCAATCATGGTAAAATGAGGTCATTGGGGTGGACGCTAATCTAAAAAGACCGGTGTCTTTATAAAAAGAGGAACTTTGGACACAGACACACACAGGGAGAAGGCCATGTGAACACGGAGGCAGAGATCTAAGGGTGATGCTTCTACAGTCCGCAGAATGCCGGTGATCCCTAGAAAACCATCATCAGAAACCAGGAGAGAGGCATGGAGCAGATTCTTCCTCATGGTCCTCAGAAGGACCTAACCCTGTCGACCCTTGATTTTGGACTTCTAGCCTCCAGAACCGTGAGGCAATTGCTTTCTGTTGTGTAAACCACCTAGTCAGTGGTGCTTTGTTAGGGCAGCCTTAGGAAACTAATAAAGGGAGCATTAGTGAAATTATGCACTATGGAAATCCCTGGCTCTGGTCTGCCTCAGACTACAAACTCAACACTTGCCTCTAAAATGAACCCACGATATAATGCAGAGGGACTACCTCACCCGGCATCTGACAAGTAGTAGGTACTTATTAATACTCATGGAATGAATGAATGAACGAGGTTATACAGAAAGCATGTATTGCAGACCTTGGCATATGGGCAGATGTTCAGTGAGGATTTGCTAGTTGGATGGTCAAGGGAGCTGACAATTATATATCCTTTACTATGAGTCAGGCAGTGCTTAGAGTGATTGCCATGAATGTGATCATGTGATTGAATCCTAACAACTGCCCTGTTATTTCCCCCATTTTTAAAAAATGAGAAAACTGATGCACAGGGAGATTAAATAAGTTTCCCGAATTCATCCAGCTGAGCGGTAGAGTTAGCTTTTGGATCTCGTTTGTCTAGGACTGTTGGAAATAATGCATGTGAAGAGGCTGGCACGTGGTAGGTCCTCAATTCCAAAGCAGTAAGTAGATGAACGTAGTGGGGCCAACCAGGGAGGCAGGGTCCTGCCCTGATGGCCTTAGGGTGGAGGTGGCCCTACTTCTCCCTCCTCTCCTAAGTTCTCCCTGACTCCAACTCAGTCTCCACAGACCTTTGGGGTCTCACCCTCCTTAAAGCCCAGCCAGAATTAGTGGGTTTTTCTCTGAGTGGGGCCCCTCCTACGTCCGTCCCCACCCCCACCCTCATCCTCCTGCCAGAGTTAGAGTGGTGTGGACCCTAAAGAGGGGAGTGGAGCAGAGGGGGCATCAAAGCCTCCCTCTATCTGTCAGTAAGGTGATGGGCTGCCAGAGGGCTGGCCCCATGAGTGTCCCACCTCCTCTCCATAATTCATCCCAAACCACATCCAGAGTGCTGACTCGGTGCTTCCCCGCCGCCCCAGGGCCACACTGTCTGTTCACCCCACTTTCCCGGATGCTCCTGGGCTGAGCCAAGTACCAGGAATGGCAGTGATTTACGATGTCACAGGCCAGCGTCCTCTACCCCGACCACTGCTCTTGGCCACAGATTTAATTATTTAAACAGATTTTACATTTTATGAGCATGCCCTCAGGCCTGGCAGAGGAAAGCCTGGATGAAAAAAAAATTTTTTGCTCGAAAGATTAAATTGAAATATTCAAGGACAGAGTTCAGGAAACATTCCAAATTCCTGAGTGTGAAAGTAGCATTCATGGCCTCATTTTACCAGCCCCATCTCTTGTTACTACCTTCCCCCTCCTCGGCAAATAACACGTTCCTGCCTCACTGTAGCACAAAGTAGTTCTTCATCATCCTTGCAAGTTCATAATTTTGCTTCTGCTACAGCCTGTCTGGAATGCAGGTGCACCAAACATTCATTCATGGGATCTTGCTATGCACCTGCTACTGTAGTAGGGCTGAGGATGCAGGGATGCACTAGTGAACCACACACACAAATCCCTGCCCTCGTGGAGCTTCCATTCTACCTCCAGAGCCTTCCTTACCGCATCCCAGGGAGACCCTGTTCTTCCGTGAGGTCTAGCCTGAATGCTACTTCCTCTGTCTTCCCTAACCTTCCAGGAGAATGTAATCCCTCATGTGACATTCTAGTGGTCTACCAGAGCCCATGCTCACTGTACTATAACCATCAGTGAAGCTGATACTCTTTCTCTTAGACTGTGGACTCCTTGAGAGTAAGGACTGTCAAATTTTGTTTCCATCTTGGCACCTGGCACGGTGCCTGGCACATAGTAGGTGCTCATTATATGGATGGCCATTGGAAGATTCCTCTGCTTCTTCTTTCAGGTGAGGAGAATCTTCTGCATGTTCTCTGTTCTCTGACATTTCCTGGTTTATTTTGCTGTTCACTCATTGCCTTACTCACTCACTCACTCCAATGGTTCATTCTTTCAACATGTATTTCTTAAGGACCACTACGAATGAGACTCTATTCTAAGTGGTGAGGATATACCAATAAAGGCAGATGATGTCCCTGCCGTTGGTGTGCTCACATTCTGGCTGTGGGGACAGGTGGTAGACTGTTGTTTTATGATTCTTTGGATGTCAGCTTCTCAGATGATTATGGGTGGCCATCAGCCCTCGGGGCCATGGCACAACCAGGCGGGGTGTGGGGTGATCCACCTTAAACTTCAAGTCAAGAGGTGTCAATGTTTCCCTGCCTGGCTCAGAGGACAAGCCTGGAGAAAATGAATCTTACCAATCTCCCTCTTCCAAGCTCTTCATGTCCGTGTAAACTGGGGATGCCTAAGTCCAAGGCCATTAAAATAATAATGCAAATAATCCATATTTTTCATCTTAAAAGCAGTTCTGGAGCAGCTGATTAATCTTCCCAGTCCCATTGTGTGTAGGTAAGTATAAGTTTTTCCTATAGATGAAGAAACTGAAACACAAGGTGATTAAACTATTGGCTTGAGGCTGTAGGGAAAGCAAGGTTCTGAGCAGGGATTCCATTCATCAGCCCTTGGTTAATAATCACAGACTCAGGGGCCAGTGTTCCCAGGGCAGCTGCGAGGGGGTGAAGCCGGTGTGCCTTGGTGGGGCAGTGCAGCTTGGTAGGGAAGAGTCCCAGCCCTGCAGGTGCATAGAACCAGGTTCGGCTCCTGGCCCTACCGATTACTTGGGTGACCTTTGAACAAGGAGTTCAAACCTTCTGCACTCCAGTTTCCTCATCTATAAAGTGGAGATAAAAACTTTGTTGCAGATTAGGAGGGTGAAAATAAGTGACATGAAGTTTGTAGAATGCTCAGCATGGTGCAGGATACCTTTTTCTTAAAAATATATTTGTGACGGAAGCATTTGAGACGGGCAGGGTATTTAGAGCTACTAATAATCATTGCCATCATCATCATCATCATCATCCATCATCTTTTAGGCACTTGGTCTATTTCAGACACAGAGGGGTCTTGGTATAATTGCATTAGATGCTTTGTGTCTTTTTATTTGTTAATAAATTGGTTGGTCACCACACTTAGGTCATGCCATCCATCTGATTTCTTTCTCCACAAACAAATGCCAAGGCTCTGTGCTGCATGCTGTGGGGGACACAGGATTGCCTTGTGTAATTCTGTGTGTACTCTGTCCCTTGCCATCAGTCCTGACCTTTCCAACGCAGTTAGAGTCATGAGTGCCTGAGTCTACATCCTCAGTATCATCAGGTGCTGGTTATTCAGAAATCTCCGCGTCACTTGCTGGGAGAGTCACCTTAGTCTTGCTAAAATTAGCTGACATTCTAGATGTGCCTGGATGGTGCCAGGAACGTAATAAGCATTTTGTTTAATCCTCATAACAATCCAGTGGGGCAAGAACAATTCTCACTCCACTTGCGTAGATAAGGAAACGGAGGTACAGAGAGGGAGGTCCCATGGCCAAGTACCTTTTGGCCCACCCACAAATATGAGAGCTGAGTTTTAACTCACGCCAGTTTGTGTACATAGGAGGGATTGATTGACGTCACTCCCGTTAGGGTCCTGTCGGAGAAGCCTCCTGTTTTATTTCCTTCTTCAGGGCTTGAGTCAGCTTTCTCCTCCAGCAAGAATGAGAACTAATAGCTCTAGAGTTAGAAAAATCATTCCTTGGTTTACAGGCTTTTACAGGGCTGCCTTGGGAGGGCACTTCACCTCTGTCTGCACCTCCATTTCCTCATCGCTAACACGTGCCTGCCTCCTGGGGGCGTGTCGGTATTATTAATGATGGTAAAGGGATTGGGGCACAGCGCACTGCTGTTCATGAGAAATGTAAAGTGCCATTAATCTTGGGACCCATTTGACAGGGCCACATGGAGCGGAAGAACAAGGAGACCCTCCACCGCAAGGGATGGGCATACATGCGTTCCCATCACCACCATGTCTCGTCCTCTCCAAGCCCCTGCACTGTTGGCTGCCTGGGAGTTGGGTAATGAACCCATCAGGGCCACAGAGACCCATGGAACTGTGGGAAGGAAAAGAGAGAGGCAGGGCCAAGGAAAACTGTGGGGCATGAACGATGAGTGCTCACTGACATCACTGTCATACCGATTGCCTAGCCACCTTTGCGGGGAGGTGTGTCCCTGTGAGCCAGGCCTGCCGACGGAACGCGGCTGGGAGGGATGTGTGCCACTGCCCGGCTCGGTTCCTACATGCCTCCTACTTGTCATCTTGCTCCTTACTGCCACCAGACTTCAAGGATCGTGGAGCCACGGATGAAGGAGCGTCAGTCCCTGAATGACTGTGTAGTCTGCTCACCAACTCAGAATGAACTGTCATGTGGAAAATAAACTTTTACCATGTCAAGTCACTGAGATTAGGGGGTTTACCTCTTGCCTTCATTAGTATTATTTGCCTAATCAATGATAAAATAATGTGACTTCTATAGCATGCATAGTTTTTCAATCACTTTCATGTATGTTATAACTAGAGGATCCTTGGGAGATCTTTGTGGTTTCAGCATCACAAACAGTTGTATGTTTCTGGAGAAAGTGATTCGTCTTCAACCTTATGTATATCTTGTGAACTGAATATCATTTCCTTTGATACCATGGCTGCTGAAAAACTCACAGAACTGTGGCACCATGATCAAAGCGGCATGACCCACTGTTTTGGTACCAACATCACTACTAGCACCATATTGCTTCTCGAGTGATGGACTTTTTCCAAACCTCAGTTGTCCCATCTGTAAAATGGGGATAGTCAGAAGGCCACCTTGGCTGGGTGGTGGTGAGGATTCTATCAGCCTGTGTGGCTCATGCCCAACTCTGCTCTAGAACCAGTTTCCAAAGCCTGGCTCCCAGAAGTGGGATGTGGGAGGAGGCTTAGGGATGGCCATGCAGACCTTCCAGTCTGTGCTTGCAAACTGTTAGGGACCGTCAGTGCTGTGCCAGGAGGTGAACAAAGCCACAGAATAAATATGGCACAATTTTATTGTCAGTGTACAGCAGGAACTCTGAATTTTGACGTGGCGAATATAGAAGTAACCTCAAGGAATGTTTTCTTCCATGTTACCAATCTCAAAGTCCCTCCCACCCCATAAATACCTGAAAGTAGAACATTATTTTTTATGCACTAGTGAAAGCTCTGACACTTGGCTATGATCACAGTGCTACCGGATGCACCCTTTTGCCCTGGCCCCCTGGCCCCCCAAACTGCGCCCCTGGCTTGCTCTGTAGGAGAAAGGCTTTGGTTTTGAGCAAACTCCCGTTAGCAAACAGGGAGGAGACTGTGCACTGTCTTTTCACACTTGTCCGTCATTCCTCCTTTCAGGAAGTATCCCACATCAGGAATTTCTCACGGGCTTTCCTATAGGAAAAGCATGTCCTATCGCAAGGAATGGTCATTTGCTCTTCTGCTGGGATGAGAAGCCCTGTGTAAACTATCAAATGACTCCCTTTGTCTCGATGGCCCGGAAGCCCTGGTGCCTGGTATTGCACCCATTTGTTTGCTCCTATTTCGTTTACCCAAATTATTTTTTTTCCTCTCTTCCTCTGTCCCTTTTCTTATGTTTTCTTACGTTGATTATGAATGCCCTTTTTTGGTAACTTTCCTCAAATCCTTTCTAGAGTGAGGCAGCATATAAATCAATTCAAGAAATTACATAATGTCCACGAGGCCAGCCTTGTTAAAATTCTAAGCGGGCCAGATGTTTTTTTTGCTTTCTGCCACTGCCTCTCCTTCCCCTACCCTGTGTTCTTCTTGGTCAATGCAGGGCGCCATTCCTGGCCCAAACACCCCTTTGCCGCCGTCCCACCTTCTTCCTTGCCTCCTCATCCATTATTACTCTGATAAATAATTCTGGCGAAGCCACCAAGTGAAAAGAGCTAGTAGCTTCAATAAAGCAAAAAGACATTTGAATCTCCACTTTTATGTCAACCTCAAACTTTTGGATGCACCAGAGGTGGTCCTGAGCAATTAGGCTGAGGAATTGCAAACAGGGCTTAGGTAACCCTCCCACCCCAGCAGGGGGTCTCTGCAGGGGAGGAGGGTCTCTGGCAGAGGGGGGCAGGGGAGCAGGGGCTGGGGAGGGCTGATAATGGAAGCTGAAGGGTTAATGCAGGGAAGAGGGTGATCGGGTGTGTTAGCAGCGCTGAGGCTGGCTGAGGAGCTGGTGTTACTATTTTTAAGTGGGTTGAGAAAAATAGGCTTTTTTTTCCCCTGTGTGTTAGGTTTTTGTTTTTGTTTTTTAAATTGTAATATTGGAAATTCGTGCTTAAGACAAGGCCGCTGGAAACGGAGCTCGGGGAATTAGTCCTCCGCCATCAAACATTAAAAATCACTCTGGACTTAAAAAAATCCATTTGCTAGCTTTAAATGCTTTTAATATATATGTTTAAAAGCTCTCACCCTCTTTGCTTTCTTGTTTTTGGTTGTAATGTCTCCTGCCTGCCTCCCAACTGTAGTATCTCAAGTGTTTTGTTTTGTTTTAACTGAACCATAATTCATTTCAACCAGGTTCACTGTCAGGTCATCCCTTCCTCAGTGGTTAGAGACCAAGGCTGGAAAATTCGGGGCCTGCCATAGCCACAGGGGAGGGGGTGGTCCTGCCAAATCCTGTTGACCCCATCAGTTTGCAGGGAACTGTTCTTGCCAATTTAGGTTCTGGAGACTATGAAATGGGACACTCGGCCCCCTCCACTCAGCGCATGCGCACTGACACCCTACTCTGTCCCAAGGGCAGTTCAAGCAGCCTCCTTTTAGTTCAACTTCTTCAATTGAGAGAGGGAAAAGCCAGAGTCCAGAGGGGTAACGTGACCACCGCTAAGGACACGGAGCCTGGAAGAGACACAGCTAGCTCCAGAATCCAGGCCCCCAGATTCTTTGGCTGCAGAGAGCCTGGGGCGTTTGAGCGTAGGAGGAGGCACGGGAGGAATAGCATGTATGGGGCACTTTTACCGTGTGTCAGGCGCTCTGTTATGTTAGATGTTTTACTATTCTGACGACCACTGCTAGTGTCAGCCAACACTTGATGAATGAATACCTGCTCCTTGCTAGGCTCGATGCTAAGCACTTACACGCATTTGCTGTAACCCTTATGTAAACCCACGAGGCAAGTATTATTCCCGTTTTTACAGATGGGCAATCTGCCCAGAATAGCTCACTAAGTTACCCAAGGGCGCATAGGTAGGAAATGTAGGAAATGGGATGGGAATGAACCCAGCACTGTCTGACTCTAAACCCATGTTCCTACGTGAATCTCTGTCCTTTTCCCCCAGTAATACGTTCTCATTCAACAAGTCCAGCCTTTGCAAATCCAACAGTCGGTGTTTGTGAATCAGTGTGTGGGTAAAAGATGTCCCTTAGTGAGAGGCTTTCTTTTCTCCCCCTCTCTGCTGTGCTTCCTGTTCTTCTGGTCAAGACGCACAGACTTTGGGGGAATATGTATGGCAGAGTGGGAAGGGCGCATCGATGTCAGCCCAGATCCTGTTACAAGTGGATGGGCCATGATATCGGACAGTTTGTCTGAGTCTCACTTTCCTTATCTTTTAAAGTGAAAAGTAACAGTGTCTATGCTTGCAGGTCATGACTCGGTCTGACTCGTAAGTGCTCAGGAGGTAATAATTCTAAGCTACAGCATCCCTCACCACTTCAGGATGGCCTTGCTCTTGGAGACTCTACCTAGAGAGCTCAAAGATCCTAGGAAAACTTGAGCTCCTATTCCTTCCCTTCCTGTGTGTGACCTTGGCCTGGAAGTTCTGGGAAGGCAGGGCTGAGTGAACAACTATGTGAGTCCATTCTGGGTCATGAATCATTGCCAAGGGTGGGAACTGTTAGGTTCATCAGACTCGTTGCCCAGGACATGATTCCCACCCTCATTACAGGGTGATTACAAAGATTCTCACTTGTTCTACATGTTCTGTAGAGGAGGAGAGGAAAAAGATCCCCAAATCATGGCTTGGGAGGAGGAGGAGTTCCTAGAGGTGGATGCCAACAGCTTCCCACCAGATGTTGAGGTAGGACAGTGAATAAGAGCCGTGTGGTTTGGTGAGAGAAGTTTCCTACTGATGCATGTGTGCACATGCTTGCTTCAGCTTGGTTTGAGCTATTCCATTTACGTGAAAGTTCTTTAGGCCTTTGAGAAACTATAGGCTTGGTCTGTTTTAACCTGTTCCATTAGAGACACACATGGGCATGGTTGTTCTAGTCACTGGGAGGACCACTGAGGTCTAGTGTAGTGGTTCTCAAACCTGTCTATAATCAGAACCTGGGGGCTTACCAAAAACCCTGAAGAGTGTCAGGCCCTATCTCTAGAGAGCTTGACAAGAAGGCCCTGGGGACAAACTGACAAATAAAGAAGAAAAGAGACAAACAAACAAAAAACCCAGACTCTTAAATGCAGACAAAAACTGGCGGTTGCCAGAAGGGAGGGTGGGGGAGTTGGGAAGATGGGTGAAACAGATAAGGGGATTAAGACTACACTTATTTTGCTGGGCATTGAGAAATGTATAGAGTTGTTGAATCACTATTTTGTATGCCTGAAACTAAAATAACACTATATATTCGTTATACCTGAATTAAAAAATAAATAAAGAAGGCTCTGGGTAGGAACCAGGTAGGAACCGGGTTCTATGTCTTTTAAAAGGATTTCCCTGTACTGCCACTGGGTGGCCAGATTTGGAGTCATTGGCACAGGTTAGGAGCCTTGGGATGGTGGACAGGTCACGGCCCAGGAACCAGACACGGGTCTGAGCTACTTCTACCAAGGACGAACCAGAGACCAGAGGCTTTGACTACCTATTCATTAGCTTCTCGGAGCCCCTCTCTGTGGCAGGTGTCAGAATCCCTCTCGTAGAGAGAAGGAAAAAGCCTTAGAGAGGTTGCCCAGCTAGGCAGGGTCACCCTGGATGTGTGCCTTCTCCCACCACTGCCACATCTGTGGACATAAGGTATCTGGGCACTGACTACGTTGGAGAGCCAGGCTCGGACACACCCCTCTGGGCAACCATGGTCATTTACTTAAAAAAGTAAATTACAATTGGCACATTTTCAGTCTGCAACAATAAAGAATAATTTCTCTTCCTTGTGCACAAGAGCTCCAATTATGATTTAATTCAATTCTGATTATGCTTTGATGGCATTTCCATTACATAAAAAATAAATGTATTAGCCAAGCATAATGTGTTTTGACTATAGTTCTGATGCTAATAAGGAGGCTGTTTGGCGGCTATGATCCCACACTTGTAAGAACGGGAGAAAAAGACAAGGATGAGGCAAATAACTCTGAGAAATCCCACACAGAGGGGTGTCGTGATTTGGGGGCGGGGTGGGTGCTGTCAGCATATGCTTGGTATTCACAGGTTTGCTCTCACAGCCGTTGCTTGAGACGCTTCTAGATGTGTGGGCAGGTACCAAGGGCTACTACGCCTCTTGGGGTAGACCTCAGGACAGGGGCGGGGAGAGGCGTGAGCTGGAGCTGACTGCATGTGGGAGCGGCAGGCCCGTCCCCGTCCCCGTCCCCACCGTGGCAGTGACAATACCTCTCCCATCTCCTGGGCTCTCTCACAGTCTGAGTCACCTGCAGCTTATGCCTCAGCTCCTGGCCGCTGTTCCCCTGGCTCCAGCTGGACAATGTCACCGAGATGTCCAGTGGCCCTCCCACCTGCCCCTGACGCATCCACGCAGCTAACACCCTCCGTGGGTCCCATGGCACCTGGCATCCTTCCATCCCTGAAGAAGGGGACTCACCTGGCGAGCCCTGGTCCTGACACTTGGCCTTTTGGCCATTATTCTTTTCAACCACCCCCCCTGCCCCCAACCCCCGCCGGCCCAGGTAGGGGGTCCCAAGTAGGAGTTCTTCCTGTTTTATGGGAGAGGAAACTCCTGGACCTGGGCCTGTTTGCCCTCAGATTTGTCTCTTAAAACTTTGTCTCCTCTCTCTATTTTGGCAGGGGTGCTGACCCCGCCTGGCTGGCTTCCCCTGGGTGCTGCCAGTTGGGGGGCACTGGTCAGAGGGCCGACGGAGGGAGGCCTTGTTCCTCTGCAGCACCATCTTCCACTGGACAGGGAGCTGTGGTTCCGGCTTCTTCGGGGAGACCCCAGCCCTGGGCTGTGGAAACATCATTACTCCCTTTGACCTCGGGGGTGGGGTTTGCAGTTTCTTGCTGTGGCCAATCGCTGAGTTGCCTCATTCTTCCCTGTTGGGCTTTTCAGCTCTCCATCTCTTGTGTATCCAATTCTTTACAATAAATTTCCTCTGTTTCAAATACCCAGAGCAGTTTCTGTTTCCCCGGATGTAACGGAAGCTGCAAGAAGTTAAGTAACCACCCAGAATAACAGCCTTCAACACTTCAGTGTATTTCCTTCCAGGCTCTAAAAATGCATATGCATACGCATATCTTCTCTTTGGATTATTTTTCTTTCTTTTCTTCTCTCTTTTTCTCTCTCTCCCTTCCTCCCTCCCTCCCTCCCTTCCTTCCTCTAAACAACCAAAACATAAATGGGTCATACTGTACACGTGGTTTGATCTAATGTGTATGACACTGTGAAAATTTTGTTTTCTCATATAATAATTGCAAAAATACGTTTAGTGACAATTTACTGTGCAGTTATAAGGATTACTTATTCAAATAACCTGCTGTTACTGAGCACTTAGATTCTCTGTATCTTTTCACTTAAATAATTCCATGGGACTTCTATCTAAGGTGGTAAAATGAAGACAGTCCAACAATTGCTCTCTCCTAGTTTTTGACTAAATAAATCTGCCCATTTGCTCCCCCCACCCCACCAAATCATCAGGATTCCAAATAAGGAAAAAGTTCCAACTTCATGCCGTACACTTCAAGGAAAGCTTCTGACCCTGGTGGCATGGTTCCTAACCCAATCCCGCCAAGTCAGAAGCCAGGCTGGGGAGAGAAGGTGGCTGAACCAAGTGCTGGGCTTCTCCCTAATCACCCCGCATCTGTAGAGAAGCAGAGAAAGGGTGTGAGCATGCTGTCTGGAGAAAAGCCTCATATCCTTCACTCGCTATCACCGGGATCTTAGGATCAAAGCCAAGGCAGACAGTCTGTCCCAACTCACGATTTTTCTAGGATATTATATTCTTGCTGTGAAATATGTTAGGAAGCACTGCCTGAGACCACCAAAACACGCTTGTATTGCAGTATAACAGCTATTAATATAGCTAGAGAAGGAAGAACAGCTATCAGAGATGATGGGAAGTGAGTCTAGAAAAATCTAACCACATTGCATAGAAAAATCTAATCAGAACCACCTGAGTCAAGCACGGGAGAGATGAAAAGAAGCCATGTAGCAACTAAGCAAACATATTATAGTAACCATCCCACCTGGAAAGAACAAGACAAACAAATGAAAGAAAGGCTATTGCTTGCACAAGACAAATGAAAAACTCCACCTGGGAGAAAACACAACCCAAGATAAAAAGAAAACTTCCAGTGTGTATGTTGTACTACAGAGGAACTTAACCAGAATCTGAATCCAGTGAAACAACTCTGGGGCATCTGGGTGGCCCAGTCCCTTAGTTGTCTGACTCTGGATTTTGGCTCAGGTCACGATCTCAGGGTTGTGAGATTGATCCCCACGTCGGGTTCCACTGTGGGCATGGAGCCCACTTAAGACTTTGTCTTAAGAAGTTTTTGGCAACCCCAATGCAAAGGGATGAAAGGAGAGCTCACAACACTAAGGAAATCGAGGACTCACACCACAATATCACAGAAATCATGAATGATTTATAAAAGAATGAAATCAGACAGCTGACAATTATATTTCTGACAGACAGAAAAGCGTTGCTGTAATAATGGAAAGCTGAGGACAAGAACAGAGAGGCAGGCGGGTAGAAAGAGTAAGATGTGTGAAAGACAGTGCTGATTCAGAAGCGAGGATAACCGGTGTCTCCCTGAAGAGAACCCAGGTAGAATCAAAAATACATTTCGTCCTGTTATCTAAGGATTGAAAGGGCATACCATGTTCCTGAGGAAAACAGAACCAGAGTGATAAGCGAGAGTATCTTGTTACCATGAAACTGGAAAAATGAAGAAATAATTCCTCTGGCATCTGAACAGAAAAGCAAACCACCTTAAGGAGGGAAATCAAGCTGAGCTCAAAGGTGCTCAGTGCTTAAAGAGTTCTGAGGGAATGACAGAGGGAGTGAACATGAACACATCTGACCAAGCGAATGTGGGAGTGTAAAGGCAAAACGTAAAATTTTCGTTCAAAAATGCAATGTAGGGACTCAGCATCTAGGAACCCTTCCAGAGAAACTACTCCGTTGAAATCCAGCCATTGACAACATGAATGGAGAAGAGTAGCAGAAAAGCTGGTGCCACACACCAAGGCACAGGATGGTGGAGCAAAGTCTGCACGATCCACGGGGGGAAAGTGTGACTCATGATTGTTATATTCAGCCAAATTGTCTGTTATACATAGGTGCAATAGAGGAGTACTCTATTTTCAAACTTTTAGGAACTCAGAGATTATAAACAAGAGCTCTCTGTTAAAAAAAAAAAAAAAAAAAAACTGGTGGATGGCATTGAGCCACCATAAGATGAACCAATACACAGAACTCGAGAATGGAGATGCTTTGCTAAAAGAACTATGTTAGCATAAATCAATTTAAGTAAAGCAAACTACAACTAAAGCAAACTACAACTACAGGAATTATAGTTACCTAACAGAATTTAAATCTAAATGTTAAAAAAGCAAAATGACTGATATACCCCAAAATTGGGAAATAAGGCAGGAAAGGAGGAAATATTATAACAGTCTAATTTACTCATCTTTCATAGCAAAGGGCCAATCAATACTGTCTCAAATTGGACCATGGAGTCAAAAAACATTAACTCAAACTTCTTATATTTTCAGAATATTTTTTCTCAAGGAAGATTTATCTCATTTATACATTTGTTATGGGTTGAATTATAACTCCCTAAATAGATACATTGGTGTTCTAACCCCAGCACCTCAGAATGTGACCTTTATTTTAAGATAGGGTGGTTTTTTTCTTAAGATTTATTTATTCATTTGAGAAAGAGCGCACGGGCAAGTGGGAGGAGGGGCAGAGGGAGGCGGAGGGAATCTCAAGCAGACTCCCCACTGAGCACGGAGCCTTATGCAAGGCTGGATCTTACGACCCTGAGATCATGATCTGAGCTGAAATCAAGAGTTGGATGCTTAACTGACTGAGCCACCCAGAAGCCCCAGGATAGGGTTTGTAACAGAGGTAGTCAAGTGAAGATGAAGTCATTAGGGTGGCGCCTAACCCAACATGCTCAGTGTGCCCATAGAAAGGGGAAAATTTGGACACAGGGACATGCACGCACACAGAAGATGGCCATCTACCAGTCAAGGGACGCCTGTGGTTACCGGAAGCTGGGAGAGAGCCTGGACCAGAGCCTTCCCTAGGGATTTCAGAGGGAGAATGGCCCTGCCAACACTTTGATTTCAGACTACTGACCTCCAGAATTGTGAGATAATACATTTCTTTTGTATCACCTAGTTTGTGGTCCTTTGTCACACCATCCCTTTGAAACTAATACAATATTTTTAAAGTTATTATTTTATAAATGAACTCTCTTGTGGTAAAGAAACTTTAATAATCCCCTAGTTTTACTTCACTTTTCTATTTTTTTTTTCTGTAAATTAAATACGTGGAATGGTTTGTTTTCCCAAGAATAGTATTATATGGGACTATTTTATGAAATCATTCCCATCTACCGAAACACTTACCAACCAACCTCACCTACCATCTTTCTGTATACAGGTTCAGAAATGTATGTGGAATGTGGTCACCTTATTTTCATGACAGTTATTACTTAGGTGGTAACATTTTTGTTGACTGTTTTGCTCTTTTTCGTATTTGTTATTGTTTGAGCAATGAATACTTTACTTAAAAATCCTAATATTCCAACAAAAACATCCTTGTATTTCAGTCCACACCCTACATATCTCCTTTTTAAAAAGCTGTGGAATCTTAGGTGGAGTTTGAATATTTTTAAGGCTCCTTGATACCTGTGTTTCAATTCTTTTCTGGATTATAATAGTTTATAATCATACAAGCAATACATGATGATGTCTGCCTTATTAGACTATTGTGGCATTGAGTATTATTATTAAAATAATCATTTGATGGACTAAAACTGGCATTTCATTTTAATTTGCCCTTCTTTAATTACTAGAGAGCTTGATTTTTTTTTTTTTTTTTTTTTTTTTGCAAATCCAGATGCTACTTGTATTTCTTGTTCTGTTCATGTTTTTGTATCTTTTCTATGGTTGTTTCTTACTAATTTATGAGTAGCACATTATACACACACTCACAAACACACACACAAAACTATCTGTCCTGTTCATTGCTAATATTCTCATAGCCTATGCTTTGCTTTTTAATTTTGTTCTTCATGTTTTGAAATGTTCATAAATTTTTAATACTTTAGTCTGATATTTTGTTTTCTTCTCATTTCCTTCATTGCTTTTGATTGATTAATGGGGGGCATGTTTTATCTTGTGTTAATCACATCCTCAAAACTAGTCTGGCTATTCCCTGAGGATATTATCTCCCACCCCTCCCTTACCCAATGCATTTTTTCTCACCATTTTAACCATTTAAGAGTATACAATTCAGTGGCTTTTAGTACATTGACAATGTTGTCCAACAATCACCACTATCTAATTACG